GAGAGAGAGAGAGAGAGAGAGAGAGAGAGAGAGAGAGAGAGAGAGAGAGAGAGAGAGAGAGAGAGAGAGAGAGAGAGAGACAGGGCTTGCCCTCTGAGGGCATACTCACCGAGGACTCTTAACTGCAATTATGGACGGCTGGATCTGGATGAATCTTATCGCAATCTTCTGATAGTCACTCCCCACAGCTGGAATGTCTTTTATTGCAGTATCTCGCCTGTCCCCCCGGGCCAGCCACAGCGCCCAGGAAACCCTGAGTTTGAACTTGCTTGCAATAATCTGAAGATGCTGAGAGGGGGGGGCGGGGGGATGCTGGTGGACGTGGTTTGGTGGTGAGTGATCTACGCGTGAAAACGAGGTACTTGTTAACCAAAAATGCTGATAGGATTGGGAAAAAAAAAATGCTGATTGGAACGTCCCCATACGGCTGGGCCCACCTAGAACGCATCCTGTCTCGGGGCCAAGTCCCACTTACCTGTATCCCTCACTTACCTGTATCCCTCATTTCGGACCGTAGATTGCAGAGATAGACGGTCAGATAAGGAGAATTTCCACAAGTGGGACTTTTATGGTCCCACCTAGACCCCATCTTGTCCTGGGGCCAGGTCCCACTTACCTGTATCCCTCATTTCTGACCATAGATTGCAGAGATTGACGGTCACAGATATGAAGAATTTCTGCCAGTGGGACTTTTACGTCTCACGTAGACCCCATCTTGTCCTGGGGCCAAATCCCACTTACCTGGATACTGCAGAGATAGCCGGTCAGATACCGAGAATTTCCGCAAGTGGGACTTGGGCCCCGGGAGCACTTCTCAATGGCTCGTTCCCTCTACCACAGGTGTTGTGAGTCCTCCAGGCAGGAATGTGGACAAGCATTGCAGGTCATGTTGACTTCCATAACTTTATGAAAGGCAAGCTTTTTGCCTTGCTGTCATTTTGTGATCAACTTTTTTAAATGAGAAGTTCAGCAATGCCGAAGAAAGAAAAGACAAGAAGAATTGGGAATAGAATTAAGAAATAGAATCGAGAATATCCGTTAAAATTGGAACGATACGGAGAAGAAGGATTAGCATGGCCCCTGCACAAGGATGACCTGCATACATCGAGAAATGGTTCTTATATATATATATATTGTTGTCCTCTTCTCTCTCTCTGCCTATGGTTTACCGGGCAGTTCTGTTTGTGACGATATATGCTACGACTTCGCTAGCTTCCTGCTACGGTTTTTTTCGGTCAGGTCGAGCGGCAGTGGTCGGGGCCGTTACTAGGCGGCCATGCTGTGCCTCTAGTGCCAGCGGCGTGTCTGGAGTGTATTTTTTGGCTGTGACAGACCTTTCTTTGTTT